AGATTTTTTGAACTTTGTGCAATACAAAGTGTGAGCAAATGACACTTTTGTAAGGAATTTGGAAAGTTCTTTTACTCTATCAGAGGGCTATGAATGGGTCACCGAGACAAGTCCCTTCTATTGGACTCTCTGATGAAAAGATAGACTTTATGAAATTAAAAGTATATGCAACAAAATTTGAATAAAAGAGATGTGGTGTGAAATGGTAATCTGCCAAGGCAAATCTATGGCTACTTCTTCCTTGAACCAACCTGACTCAAGATTTATTATTATGCCAACTTCTAAAATATCTTAATAGGCTGCACAGCAGAAATATTCCTTTTTAGCACACATTTGTTGTAAATATGTGTGTGTGAATTTTAAGTGAATGACTTCTGGTTCTAGGTAATTATGCATTTGACCGAGAAGGTAAATTTGGAAGTAGATTTTTCTGCATGCAGCATTTTGGTCTTCCGGGGATGCAAAGAATGAAGTTGAGGAGGAAGAGTGAAGAATTTAGATCTGGCCTTGATAAAGAAAACATCCCTGCCGAAGCATCACCAATAACACCAGAGAAGGTAATTGTTTTTTGTTTTTTTAACACGGTGACTTTGGGTTTATCATCCCAATTTTTCCGCTATGCAAATAACATTGAAATGGAGTAGTAACTGCATTAATGTATTTGGAAATATTTTGTTTAGTTTATTTCACTATTGTGTAAAGAAGAAACCCAGGCAGTAACAAATATATAAATTTTTTATATTTATTTTCTGAGTTAATAACTTTTTTTAGTGTTTATTATTCTAGATTATAATATGAGTATGAACACTTGAATCAAACTGCAAATATTTAATTTTCTTAAATGTGTCTATCAAATATTCTAGTTGTTTGCTGAAACTTTCACGTCCACGCTTTTCCCTTTTGAACTATCCAGTTTTTGTATATTTTAATTGTTTAACTTTTAAAAGGAGGATGAAGTGATGGCGGCTGTGGCATGGAGCATGCATGAGAGAGATGCAAAACATGAATAGAATTGTTGTTGGAAAGCCTGAAAGGATGACACAGGTCAGGAGGGTAATGTTAAAATGGATCTTAGGGAAATTGGGTTTGAGGATGTTGGATTGGATTCATGTGGCTTTGGATAGGGATGAGTGACTGGCTCTTGAGATCAGTGCTGAACCTTCAGGTACAATAAAATGCAGGACATATTTTCACTAGCTGACCATACACATAGCTTCTCAAGGACTCTAACCCATGGAAAAACAAACATAAATAAATACAATACTGTAATTAAATATTTTGATTTCCTTCAGGCAAAATCCTTATCAGAGACTGTGGACAGAATGACACTGACAGGACTGGATATATTGGATGCAAAGACAACACCAGAGCGAATAGAGTTTGAGAATCTGACAGCAGCTTCTTCAGATATAGAGGAGGCTCCAAGTGAAATGGATGAAGATGAATGGACTGATCGTAATTTTGGGGCATCTACTGTTGAAGGGTCCAGTGATTCCCTTTCAGATCTAAGGTATATTCTTTGTATCCTACTTCTTGATCAACCCTTCAGCTGCATAGAACATTTAAATATTACTCACTCCTAGTGATGGAGAATATTTAAGTATATCTCTTTGGCTTTGCAGTTTTGTTCTGTGAACCATTATTGTAATATGATTTGTTTAAGAAAGTAGTGTGGCTTAATATTTCATTGTATACCTCTAAAAGAGTTTAAAGGTAGAAATTTGAAGCTTTTAGGACTGATTAAAATTGTTCGCTATTATGTCTATGCCAGTTTGCATTTTCATACATTGTTAAATAACTAATAGTCAGGAAAAAGAATGGCATGTCAGTTTGTACACCACTGGCAGTTTTATGGTCTCTTTTGCTTTATCTGTATCCTTTAGATCAGGGGTTCTAAACCTTTTTCACTGGCATACCACTAATTTTAATTTAACACATTAAATGTACCACTAACCAAATGTGTTCAAGGAAAACTGTTATTTATGTTAATATTAACTTTTGATTTTCTTACTTCGTTTGCGTACCACTCAACATTGGCTACAGTGGTACACGCACCATAGGTTGATAAACGCTGCTTTAGATGATAGCAAATGTATTGGAATCTCTTTGATGATGTTTGGTAGTAGTATGAAAATTGTAAGAATGGTACATAAGAGCTGTACACTAATAATGCACAGCCATTTTTGGTTATTTGATACATCTGCATGTTGTTCTTCCTTTTGATTCTTATCACATTCATACTGATCAATCAGAGTGCATCTACAAAACACCACTAGAAATTCCATAGTTTCAGTTTTTATTATGCATATGGTATTTGCTACTGTGTAATGAGATATAACTGAACTAACTAACTCCCTGGTAGTAGAACCTGCAGATTCAACACCGACAATACCAAAGCCCACCACCGGCCACGATCCTGAGCCAACTCCATCCATTTGCCATCCTCACAGCTCACCTCCCTAAGATCCATCATGATGTTATCCTCCCTTCTCCTTCTTGGTCTGCCCAGTGGTTGTTTTCCAGAAGGATTCCCAACCAAAATGCTGTATGCACCTCTTGCCCCCCCCCCATGTGTGCTACAAGTCCAGCCCAATGGAGCCTCCTAGATTTCACTATCCTCACTATGCTAGGTGACCCATACAGTTCACACAGGCAGATTTTTGGACCAGGTCCAGGTCTGAGGCTAGTTCAATCAACCAGGGGGCCCAACAGACAGATTTTCTGCCCTCTTCCCCTATTTTCTGTCTGAAGATGGAAGCAGAATGTAGCTTTCAAAATGTAGCTTTATTACCTTATAATTTAGACAGTGGAAAAACAACAGTTTTATGTTGGTTTAGTAGAGTGCTCCAAATCTGTGTTCAGAAACTACCTTGTTTAACTATTCACCTCATTACAGGCTGTCCTGGCTAAGGTTTCTTGAATTTATCTTCAGGATAGTACAGTTTTTCCTTTTTCTCATTTGTGTGTTATGATACAGTATGACCTTCGGAATAAATTTGCTCTATTATTTATTCTCCATTCAAGTGATTCTGAAGAAGAAGCAAATGAAGTTTTTGAAGAGGCGATTGAGCAGCCATTGACTTTAGATGAAACCCGCCGCCTGGCTGAAACATGGACACTGCGGTATTCAAAGACTCCTGAAGACAAACAGAATGGTGATGGTAAAGGAGAAAGACAGGAAGGGGAAGAAGAAGAAGAAGAAGAAGAAGAAGATAGTGAAAGTTATGAATATGAAGAGAGTGATGAAGATCTCAGCTATCCAGAGTGTGAAAGTGAAGGTAAGCTGTCCTGTGGGTGCATATTTATAGAGCATGTAGGTTTGAAAGTTTCTCCCCTGCACTTAATGTGTTTGACTTTGTAGTGTCTTAGATTAACAACTTTATGTCAGCTGCTGCAAGATGAACAGAAACTAGAAATTACCAAGGCTAGTAAGTTCAGTTTTATTGTTCATAACATTATATCTTAAAACAATACATTTGTTAACCATTGGAGTGTAACTTTATTATATGAATTATCTGTACTCACATTTCATAGTTCATCCAGACTGTTTATTCATGTAATATGTTGTACATTTAATTTTTTAAAATAATAATGACCCATGTTTTCAATTGGTTGATTATTTGCTAACACCCAGATGATGAAAGTGAGAATAATAATCACCCATGTTTTCAATTGGTTGATTATCTGCTAACACCCAGATGATGAAAGTGAGACAGCGACTGAAGGTGAGGATGAGATTCGAGCACGTGAACTGCGGAAACAGGAAGTACATCTGGAAGTGCCGGAGAGACCAAAAGGAAAACAAGACTCGGACACTGGTTCTGACACTGAGGTGAAGACCCAGAGCCTTCTTACTCCATGCAGCAAAACTAAAAAATGCAAAAATAAGAATTGTGCTCTGCAGTAATCTTATATGATGTAGCACTGTGTAATAGATGTCAAATTACCATATGTATAAAATTTATAGGAAGTATAAGTACAGTGAGTTCAGTATGATAATTAAACTATTTGAAATATGCATAGTTCAAAAGCTAACTTAATGTTAAGTAAATTCCTTTCAGTTGTGAATTTGACACTTTTGTAAATTGAATAGGTAATGTGTTTTATATATTGGTAATAATCTCATAGAAAGTGTCCACATTGAAAACCAATCAGATTAAAAGCTATCATGTTCTTCCTTGTACTGTTTTATTTAAAATTTTAATGCTGTGCATTTTGTAAGCTGCGTGGTGGTTGTGTTGAAGTGATTGTTAGAAACAATGAAGATAAAAGTAAAAGATACAAAGGTAAATATGATTTATAATTTTGAATGTTCCTTGTTTTTGTGTGGCTTCATAATTGGTATGAGCTGTTTCTCTTTTTTACATTTAGTGTTTTAACATACATTGCTTTCTAACAAAACAAAATATATTCATATAATTTCCAATATGTTCTAATTTTCCTCACGCCACCACCAGCTAACAGTTCCACTGCAAGTGGAGAAGAAGTGCTCAGTTTGTGTTTTAAAATTTACTAACATGAGCTATGCATTACTATTAGGCAGTTCTGTTTTATTCTTGATCATTGCACTGATGCTGAATCTTTTACAATATGTTTTGTTGTTTGTTGACAAATCTTCTTCAATATTAATTTGGAATTTAAAGTGAAACCAAAAAGGACTAAAACTATCCGGAGATTGTTCACCACCAGAAGTCACTTCTCAGTATGGATAAAAGATTTCCCTGACAAAAAGATGGAAACTGAAGTTTAATAGTAATTAATAACATCCCATTTTGTGTGTTTAGTTTATAATTTATGGTAGAATCTGGTGTTTAGTGTGTGTAGTCAGGTCTGATATGTTTTAATAGAATAAACTGTGTTGTACATGTTAACTGATTTTACTTGTATGAAAGTTTGTCAAATGGGTATTAGGTCTGTTAGTTGTGCGGAAAATGTTTCTGTGAACCAATTCAGAGAATAATTAGGAATAATCAGTAAACTTTGAAACATTAATGATAGTAGCACAATAAATTTCTGTAATGTGTTGCTTGTTTGCATGATTCTGATAAGTCACTTTATCCCACAACTTTCATTAATATAATTTTTGCAATCATGTGTTAATGCTTGATCATTATGTCCAATTGTTAATGGGATTTTTACAGGGTGTTTCTATTTTACAATTTTTATAATTTAAGGAAATTAAGCATTGACGTAAATAAAATTGCTGTCGTGTCTTACATAAATTATCCAAATAAAGTAAAATTTGTACACAACTTCGTCAGATAAGGATAATATTAACGTTTTAAATGTAAACTGTGTTTGCTTGACTATTATAAGTTATGAGCATACAAATCATTTAATATTCTTTGAACACAGTGATAATGAATAGATGAAATGGGGAGGTGTGTTTTGTAATTCAGTATATTTGTAATAAGATTCTTTTTCCTTTGTCAAAGGTTGCTTCTGATGATTATACATCAACTGAATCTGAAAGTGAGGAGGAGGAAGAAGAAAACTCTGCAACAGAAATTGAGACAGATTCTGAGTTTGAACATGATGGGACAACTCCAGCACATCATGATGTTCCTTCCATCTTGATAGATGACAGCAACATCACTTACAGACGCCATCGACGTGTGGCTGAAGAAGCCAAGAAGGTGCAGGTCCGTACTGGACACATTTTACGCCCCATAAATGGCACTGTTCTTAAAGCTCCAGTTATTCAGAAGCAGGTACATGGTGGAGTGAAGCTTGAATTCTCTCCTCTCCAGCCAGATGCTGAGTCTGGCAAATCTGCAAGTCTGTCCAATCTGAATGCAGGAAATAATATTGATAATAACAACACAATCAGAACACTGCCTGTAGTAAAACCCACTCCTCTCATTAATCCTCGTCGAGGCGACTATTTTCTTAATAGAACCCACTCTACAGAAGGTATTGCTTCAAAGATGTCACTTGAACTTAAAAAAAAATACCTTCTAGGAGCTTCAGGACTTGCTGGCTCTGTAAAAAAGTCAGGTTCAGCCTCCACTTTGGACTCAAAATTTAAGAGCTTTGTAGATATGATCTCAGAGCACCAGAAGCTTTTAAACCCTGCACCAGAACCAAGTCCCACAATGCAGGCATTTCTTCAAGGAACATCCAGATTGCATGCCTCCCCTGCTGGTTATCCTCTGTCACCACCATCTCCCACAGTTCTCAGTCCTCCATTGAAGCTTCCACCATCACCATCTCAACAACCAGCACTATTGTTACGCAAGCAGAAAGTGTTGCCTCTTAACGGTGATGGGTTTGAGCATGTTTGTGGTTTGGGTAAAAGAGAAGAGGAAGTGAAAATATCAGATGTAGAAAGTCATGACAAAATGAGACCAGTTAGTGTGACAGGGGTTAATCTTAAATTGTCTCATGGGATTGCCACTAGTGACAATGTAGATCAATGTAGGACTCCTAAACTCAGTGGCGCAGAAGGTGAAGAAGTGAATGCCTCCTCAGAACAGAATCTTCCAAATGTTAATAGTCTAGAGAATGGTACTGTTCTCGAAGTGGAAAGTAAATTGAGTGCTGATATAGAGGTTATGGAACAGCAGCCTGAGGAAGAATTTGATTGCCGGCCACGTAGTCCAGCACATGAGACTTCAATAGTAGTACCTGAAATACCATGGAAAACTGTTCTCAGTGATACCAGTTGTCATGTCAGTGGTGATGATAATTATGATGATGATGATGGTGGTGATGATATTGTAAGTGATTCACTGTCATCAGGTAGCAGTGTTAGTGATTTGGAAGGTGGTGAAAATGAGCATAAAAACAAGTTGTCTTCCAAAGGAATTGTACATGAACGAACTCCGCCAAGAGTAGAAATTCATGATTCCAGTGGTGAGCTGATGACTGAGGCATCTTTTGAAGAGAGACCCAAGACTGATGAATTCAGTTGTGGAATAATGAAACCAAGTGAAACTATTTTATCACAATCTGTAGACTTTATCAGTTCTGTAGGTTCTAGTGCTGAGGGAGGCAATAGAACTACTGAGACTGCAGCTAGTGAACATAAATGTTCTAGCATGACCAGTGATCGAAGCAGTCCTTCAACTCCACCATCTACAAGAGGTGACGACTCTGAATCCTATCACAATGAAGCCACTCTTGCAGAGACAGAGTTGTCTGATTGGGCACAAGATGCTGATGCTGTTGTTTCAGAAGATCTTGAGGACATAGAATTCAATATTGATCCTGAATATGTTACAGTTCGCCGACACAGGAAGCCAAAAACCATTAGGAAAAGTGACAGTGAATTGAGTACATCTGCCAGAATTGCTAGAAGTGAAGATTTTGACTTTGATGATGATCCTGGACATATATGTGGTATTAATAAAAGAATTATAACTGGGAAAGAGCTCAGTCAAGAAATCTCTTCTGATACACCTTCACACCTTCTTACAAATGTGGATAACATTGAATTTATGGACACTGGTGAAGAAGAAAGTGAATCTGATTATGTGTTAGGTGCAACAAATAAGGCACTTCTGCACAATAGTGGTTATATACAGTTTGTAAATGTCATTGATGATGAGGACATTTCAACACCATTAGTCGAAACACCAACTATTGCTCATGAGCTACTTTCCACATCCACATCCATTCCACCATCTCTTGTGGTAAGTGAATGTGAAAGAGATAGTGACAGCTTGGAGGCCATGGATGTGCTTAGTCAGGTTGAGGCTGTGAACAAGGAAGTATTGGTGGCATCAGCAGGTGAGGATGAAGAAAGTTCTCTCCAGCCAGAGGGTACCACCACAGAAGAAACTACAACCAGTGAAATAGTTACAGTAAAAGACAGTCCTATAGATGTTCCACAGACTGAGACCTCTGGCAGAGATGACATATTTTACACACCTGTACAAGAACCTATAAAATCAACAGATGAGACATCTGTTGGTTGTGTTACATCAGATGATCCTACTGGTACAGTTTATGAGGAGTATGTACGTCGCCTGCAGGACCGTATATCTCCATTTAGTAATGTACGAGACTCAATAGATGTTAGGAAGTCTAGAAGACGGAATAAAGGTGTGCAGCATCACTCTGGAACACAAGTACTCATTGCAGAAGAAAGTGAAGGTACTTCACCTTCACGATTTGTTGGTACAGGTTTCAGTTCTCCTGGTATATCAAGGAAACTTGAAGCAATATCAAGGGAGAGATCCAAGCAGAAAGACCTTATTCATGAAATGGTCATGGACAAACTCCTCACACAAAAAAAGTCACCTCAGGAAAAGAAAAGTAAGAGACATACTCGTGGACCCTTGAACTCTTTTACACAACCACAAACCTGCCAACCTGATACAGAGGTAACTTCTGAGGGATTAGTAGGTTTGCCCAAAGAAGTGCCTGAAACACCTGGAGATGTGAAAATATCAGAAATCGAAACAGATGAAGATGTAGCTAGGTTTGCCCAAAGAAGTGACTGAAACACCTGGAGATGTGAAAATGTCAGAAATCGAAACAGATGAAGATGTAGTTCTTCAGTCACCATTTGTGGGAACAAAGACTGATAGTGAACAGCATCATAATGTCCATCAAAACCTAGAAGTGCCTTTTGCAGATGATTTAACTCCAGCTGGTGAATACACTGAACAGTTCTATACACCTATGACATCCTTTAAGAAGCAATCAAAATATTTGCAGTTTAGGCAACGACCTTTATCTGTTCACTTATCATTCAGGTCTGGTGAACATGCTACAGGTAGTGTTTCAGAAAGAAATTCCTCTTGCCTCCCCAAAACTCCTCTTACAAATCCAGAGGCATTTTCATTACCAGATATCAGGAAAGCTTTGTTCGCCACTTCATTTGAAATGTTAAAAATTCCTGTAGTACCAGCGCGAACACGAAAGGAAGAGACCAGACGTGCTGTTGAGAGGGAACAAGTCAGGGAAGAAGCCAGAATAAGGGCCCAACTCAAAACTGATGAAGAACTGGGCCTAAGCCCTGAAGATTACATCAAGATGTTGAGGCAGAAAGTTCCCAAACGGCACGCTTCTGATGCAGGCATTAATGCCAAGCGACATCTTATACTTCGAAGTCTATCTGAGCCTGGTAAAGAGCTCAAAATGGATGATTGTTGTTCTAGTTCAAGTGTACAAGAAGAACCTTCTCTATGTGACTCCAAGGAACATTCTTCTTCTACTACTCCAGCTGTCAGTAGACTTTCCCCAAGTCCTGTTGATACTTCACTCTCAGCTTATCAACAGCTGCAGACATCACCAAGTGAGGCCAACAGTGGTGCTGCTTCACCTTCAAGTGCACCATTATCCAAGGTAATTAAGGAATATCAAGTAGACTTGCATTAATAGTTTCACAATACACAATAGACTTGTAGTTAATATGTAATCAAGTAACACTTTATTTGCTGCTCTATACCTTAGTCATAGGGAGAGGCAAAGGAACAATATCAAGTTGAAATTTCAAATAGGTTTCAAATTTTAGAGACAAATGA